GAATACTCTTGCTTCAGTTGTGATAAATAATTACCCCTATACTAAACACTGTTCTAGTTTCATTTAACATCTTAAAAGCAAAACCTAAAATGATCAGACTGTTTCAGACTACTTCCTTGAAAGAGTTCAATGATATTTACAGAAAAACAAAAATATTCAGCAACTCTCAAGGTAAAATTCACAATGTCTGGCACCCACCCAAATTATCAGACTTGCAAAGAAGAAGAAAAATGATGACCATAGTGAGAGAAAAATAATCAATCAATTGGAACCAACCAAGAATTGATATAGATGTTAGCATTAAAAGATAACGAGTTAAAACATTTAATGTAACTGGATTTCATATGTTCAAAATATTAGAGACATAAAAATATTTTCTAATAAAAACTCACATTAACCTTATAAAGATAAAAAATCTCACTGTTGATATGAAAAATATATTGAATAGTATTTCAAGTAGAACAGACATTGCTGAAATTATTAGTGAATATGAAGACAAATAGAAACTATCTAAAATAAAACACAAATTTAAAAAATGACAAAGTCATCAAATGAGTTGTGTAACATTTTCAAGGGAATTATATGTGTGATTAGAATCTTCAGAGGAGTGAAGAAATAGCAGAAAGACTTAAAGAAAGAGACAGAAATCCTCAAATTTTATGAAAACTACAAATCTACAGATCCAAGAAGTTCAATGAACCTCAAACACATGAAAAATTAAAAAAAAATGCACCAAAGCTCATTATAATCAAATTTCAAAAAAAAATGATAAGAAAAATCATAAAAAGAGTCAAAGAATAAAGTCACATTGCATACAGAAGAGTAAATATAAGCATATCCACAAATTTATTCTTGGAAACCAAAAAATAAAAGTAGACAATGGAACAATATCTTCAAAGTTCCAAAAGGAAAAACCAGAATGCTACACTCAGAGAAAATACCTTTCAAAAAATAAAAGTGAAGTAGACTTTTTCAGAGTTACTGACAATGAAAATGATTCACCTTCAACAAACTCATAGTAGAAGAAAACAGTAAAGAAAACAGTAAACTTCAGGAGAAATAAAATTGATATCAGAGAAAAATATGGCTCTATTAAGAGGTAAAAAGAGCACCAAAAATGGTAACTTCCTTGAGCATCGATTATACAAACACAGTCTGATTTTCCGGTTTGAATGAGTAGAAGAGCTGTATAGCTGTGTACAGCAGACAGAGAGAGAGAGAAGTTCTCTGGAATTTATGAATCAAGTTTTATTCATTTGAACATTCTCGGATATCTCCTTTGTTCATTCCTGTCCGTGTCTTTTCATGAATTTAATATGGAAGTCCCTGAGGCTGCAGAAATCCTGTTGTCATTTGTAGTGAACCTTAAAAAACTTTCTTGTCTAAATTTGCAATGACTTTATGTTTCCTGGAAGCAAAAAACTAACTTCTTAAAGTTCCTTCTTTTAAGCAACAATTCTGGGAAAGAGCTGCAATGGGCTAAGATGGGCAAGCAACTCTTTTCTATATGACTGTGTCAAATTTGGAGCTGGCTATTGGCTTCTTCTTTTTTTTCCCCTACAAAAACCTCTCTCATTACTTATCTTCATGGTGACAGTCTCTTCAGGATTCTCCCTTGTAGAATACAGAATAAATAAACAGATTCCCTAACAAAAACAATGTAATACAAAATATACAAAATCTGTACTTTGCTAGTGTGAAATAAAATGATAGAAAATAAGAACTATTGAAAAATCCTATAATAATTTAATATCTGCCTTATGTCATTCTATGAAATGAACCGATTTTAGTTAAGATAGGAATTCTTCCAATTTCTTCACTACCTTGTCCAAATATCCTGAGTAGACACTCTCTGCACCCACTAATGAAATGTAGCTTCTGCCTCCGTGAGGCCTCAGCCTTCCAGGGAGCTGGAACTACAGGCAAGCGCTACCACACCTGGCTAAATTTTTTGATTTATTGCAGAGACGAGGTCTCGCCAAGTTGCCCAGGTGGGTCTCGAACCCGCGAGCTCAGGCAATCCACTCACCTCAGCCTCCCATAGCGCAGGATTACAGGTTGAGCCACCGAGCCCGGCTACAATTTTCTCCTAAAGACTAGTCCCTTGCACCCAACCCACTTTCCAAATTGAGTTTCATCGTCTTTAAATTTTGTGAACATCTATATTTCTTTTTTTTTTAACTTTGAAATAAACTGCTTAGGACTGGTCTTTTCTTCCACAGTTCATCTTAATGATTGGCTAGTGTTCTTCATGGATCCATCCTTTCAACACTGCTTACACACATACTTTTCGTTGTTAATATCATCGGCTTTCACCGTCTTAGGTAGCACATACAATCTTCTGACTCAATAAGCCCACAAAACTTCAGATCAACATAAACAACATCCTTTTGTGCATCTTAAAAACAACACTCCACAGACATTTTGGATTAACATGTCCAAAGTAGAAATAGTCATATCCATCCTGAAGCTTGTCTCTTTTCCCTTTTTATTATGTGCAGCACCAACATTACTCAGCAATTCCTAGTTTGAAAATTATTCGCCATTCATGGCTACTTCCCAAATCCAAATATAAAAATGTTCTGCTAGTTTTTACATCTAAGTATATCCTGAAATCATCCTCTTTTCTTTATACCACTTCCCTAGTGTGTTCATTCAACATCTTTTATGTAGATTTTACAAGGATGTCCTAACTGGTGTGCAAACCCCATCCCTCACTCCTTTGAGCCATTCTTCCACAAAACCAGCAACTTGAAGGATATACCATGTCATCCCCTTAGTAAAATCTTTTGATGACTCCCATTGCTTATGCTCCTTAGGTTCCTTAAGGAATCAGTCTTTGTTTCATTCTTGTGTACCAAATTCCAGTTAAACATTTTTCTGTTTCTTTGGAAAACGCTGTGTTATGTGAGCTTAATGACTTGGTTTACCTTGAGCTTTGCTGGCATATGAATGATAACCCTTTCTCTGCTTTTCAATCCTTCTCCTCAGTTTAGTTTTCACTTCATACTATAAACTTTTCTTGGCTCTCCTCCCTACTCTTCTTGGTAGTTAGATGTGCTCATAGAACCTTGTGTATATCTCTATTACTGTAATTATGGCTGGGTATAATTTTATGTGCTTAGATGTGTATTTCTACCAATCTGAGGTAAGCACATTTTTAAATCTTCATGCCTAACAATGTGATTGGCATACAGTAGGAGTGCAATAAGTATTTTTGAACTGTCTATGGTAATAAGTGATTGTCCTGAAGATACTCAATACATACTTATTAAATGAATGTAAATGCCAATAAAATATTATCTTAAAGGCAACATTAATTCAAGTATTTTCTTAAATCTGTATTATATATACATGTATATATTTCCTTTTTAGAGATAGGGTTTTGCTTTTGTTGCTCAAGCTAGAATGCAGTGGCATGGTCATAGCTCACTCCAGTCTTGGAGTCCTGGGTTTAAGGGATCCTCCCACTTCAGCTTCTCAAGGAACTGGAACTACAGCCAGGAATCACAGCATCTAGTTATTTTTTTAAAATTAGAGAAAGGATCTCACTATGCTGCCCAGGTTGGTCTCAAACTTCTGGCCTTAAGCAGTCCTCCTGCCTGCCTTAGCCTCCAGAAAGTCCTTGGGATTACAAGTGTGAGCAGGATAGTAGACAATCTAGCTATCTAGGTAGCTAGCTATATACATAAAATTTTGTGTTATTATTATTTTAAAAATTTGCCTGAAAGAATAACAATTTTTTTTAGAAAGAGAGACTCTTTAATGCCTATATAGCTATAGATATTTTACTATTAGGGCTATTTTTTTAAATCAGTAATGCTTTGGAATTCCACCTTTCCAGTTTAATTTAGTTTAATGATATGTTGCCAAAGATTCATTTTTCACAATTGTATTGTTCTTCATAGAAACAAAACGATTCATTTCTTTTCCAAAAGTTATATGGGAGTCAATCTTTAATGTATTTACAAATAATTGTCTAGTTTTACTACCTTATTTTTTCCCATTGTGAATGTCTGTATTTTATCACCCTAGTTCAATTTAGAAGTGCAATCTCTAAAGCAATTAGAATTGTATAGATTATATTACAAGAAAAGGTTATTCCACCAACTAAAAATTGACATAGTTGAAGCAGTCTCTGATTTTCTATAGTCTTACAATATGCCATAAAATGCTTCCAAAAAATCATTAGTAAAAAAAAAGCATTAAATACAAGTATAATGTCATAAAATGGATTTGAATCTCTCAAAATAAGGCATAGAACAATAGAACATATTGCATGTAATATACTTTGAAGATGTTTGCTATTTTTTTAAGACATAAGAATATTCAGGTATACAGGTATACACATATATTCAATTATATATGCTTATATAATATATATAATTAAAAATGTATTATTAAATCTATTGAAATGGTTTCATCCTCTATTGTCCTTAGAAATGATGGACACTGTTGCAGTATTTAAATTTCTAAGATATCTCTACAGCTAACTCTCTAAGCTTGACTTCTCTTCTATATAAAGACAAAAATAATGTTTAAGTTATTTGACTTTGATAATCAAAGTGATAAATTACTGAGATGGCATTAACTCAAAAAGACACATTTTGCCAAATGTATATATAATCCCATCAAGGAAAATTCAAACAGATTGAGAATTGATTTCTCAGTTCCATTATTATAGAAACGTGTGTTGTTTTTCTTCAGAAAATAAAATATAAGCATGTTATTCTATAGAAATAGATTACATTTTCTCTAGGCCAATCATTTGAATTTTGATAGACTATTATTCAAACATATTACTGGATAGGTGTTCATTAACAAAGAAGGACATTTATAAGACCCCTCTTAGAACTAAAGCAAAACTTAATCATGTGATTTTCTAATGCTCATATCACAGAATTTCTGAATACTCATGTTTTAATATTTCTCAAGATCAACTTTTAATGTTATGGTCATATCCAGCAATCAATTAGCAGAGAATACTGCTCTTTTCTTACCTGAAATGAAGTAATTGGATATATATTAACATGAGCCTCATTCCAGCGTTGTCCTTTATTCCCACTAGAAGACCACAGTGGATTCTCTATTGTTGTCTGCCCTTTCAAACGTAGATAAACGTTTAAGACACCTACAATGACAATGAAATTTCATTTTGTATGTCTGATTTCACTTCAAGTGTGCTCTTTCTTGTCCAAACACTTATAAATTTTTTAAAGTGAAATATTTCTGAACACTCTAGTGTCTTGTCTTCTCCAGTCTCCCATCTTGTTCTTATGACATGTGATCCTAAAATAACCATCCTCTAGTTCCTGGAACCTGTGAATATTACCTGATATTACAAAAGGGACTTGATTAAGTTAAGAATTTGAAAATGAGGAGATTATGGGGGATCTAAAAGCAATCACATAGATCTTTATAAAACAGAGGCAAAGGGAGAGTTCTTACAGGAAAGGTCATTTTAGAGAAAAAGATGTTACACGACTACTTTTGAAGATAGTGGAAGGTGTCACAAGGAATACAGGAAGTCTCAAGAAGCGAGAATAGACAAGGAAATGACTTCTCTCCTAGATTTTGAAAGAAACAGTTCTACTGATACCTTGATTTTTCAGTTACCTATAAAATCTATAGGTATATCTTGATATGTTGATTTTATGATATCATAATACTTACCTTAGATTTCTATTCTCCAGAACTATAAGAGAATAGATTTGTGTTGTTTTAAGCCACAAACTTTGTGGTCATTTGTTATTTGTCACTGTAGCAATATAGCATGTAATCATGTGCTGACTGACTTGCTCATAGTATGAGCCTAATTTTGTTGTCCTTTATTCTTTAACATCCTCTTTTCAATTTAATTTTTACACAAGTCATCATTTTCTTCCAAAAGAATTATTGGAAGACAAAATTAAGATAGATTTTATCTTACATTTCACACCTCTCTTTCAATAGTTTTCTGTGCTTTAAATATTATAACAATATAAATACAATGAAATATATGTTGATCACACACTTCAGATGAGCAATTAATTACTCAATCAAGCTATGAAGTACTTACGTTTATTATCCTCACATTACAGATGAGAAAATTTAGAGAGATTAGGTAATTTGTCCTATGACATTCAGCAAAAAAAATAGCAGAGGCAAGATTTTGACTCAGCAAGTGTAAGTTCTACATCATAATCATTAGGTGACCAATATTTTAACAGGTAAATTTTTTTAAAAATCAACTTTATTGAGGTATAATTTCCATGCAATAAAATTCATTATTTCTAAGTGTCAGGTCAATAATTTTTGACTAATGTGTACTACAATGTAAGTGTCATTCAATCAAGATAAGAACATTTACATCCACACAGTACTCTTATTTTCTTTTGTAGTTAATCATCTTCCCAGTCACTGTCCCTAGTCTGGGTACTGATATGAATTCTGTCACTAATCAGTGATTTTTGTCTTTTCTAGAGTCTCATATTAATGGAATTATATAATATATACTTTTTGTGTCTGCTTACTTTCCTTCAGCATAATGTCTGTGATATTTGTCTGTTATTGCTTGTATTAGTCTTCTTAAATTCAGCGTTTACTTAGATTTATGCAGTTATTAATGTATTTATATTTAAATATACCATCTTGTTAATTTTTACTTGTCTTTTCTGTTTTTCTTTCTCCACATTTACTTCCTTTCTTTCTTTTCAACTGATCAAATAGTTTTCAGATTTCCATTTATTTCTTTTATTGACTTCTTAACTATATCTCTTTTTAGTATGCTTCAGGGGTTGTTGTAGACCTAACAAATGGCATTTATAACTTTTCAGAGTCTAATGAGAGTCAATATTATGCTTTTTCACACTCACAACTCATAGTTGATATCTCCTTCACATGTTCCACTATCACCTCACACTGTTCTTCATTGTATACTTGATGCTTCATATTTTATTCTTCACTCCAAAAATGTAACAATCTTACAACAGTATAAATTCATTTATCTGCCCCCCTTTTTACTCAATTTTACGTGCTACTTTTGTTTATATTATAAACCTGACCTGAAAGCGTTATTATCTTTGAAAAGCCAGATATAACTTATTAAATTACAAGGAAAAAGAAAATACAGTTTTTTAATTTCCACTTATTATTTCTGGAAGTCCTCATTTTTACCTGTTTGTGAGTTATAATCTAGCACCATTTCCCTGTGGCCTGAAAGACAACCTTTTTAGCATTTTTTATGGTAGTGAGATACTAGAAACAATTTTTTTCTGATTTGTTTATATAAAAATATTCTCATTTCACTCATACTTTTTTTTAATTTTGAGTTGGAGTCTCACTCTGTCGCCCAGACTGGAGTGCAGTGGCGGCTCCTGGCCACCGCAGCCTCGACCTGCTGGGCTCCCGCGATCCTTTCGCCTCAGCCTTCCGAGTAGCTGGAATTACAGGCATGTGCTACCATGCCTGGCTGATTTTTTTTTTTTTTGATTATGTAGAGATGAGGTCTCACCAAGTTGCCCAGGTGGGTCTTGAACCCGCGGGCTCAGGCAATCCACTCACCTCAGCCTCCCTAGGTGCGGGATTACAAGCTGAGCCACCGAGCCCAGCTCACTCATACTTTTTGTGAGGTTTTAAATTCTGACAATTTATTTTTTAAGTATTTTAAAGATGCTGTTCAATTATATTCCGTATGCCATTATTTCTAATGTGAAATGAGCTAGCACTCATCTTTGTTCCCTTGTACATAATATGATTTTCTTATTATGCAATTCAGTAGTCTCTCATAGGACACTATGGCTCATTTTTCTTCAATATCTTCAAGTCAATTGACTTTTTTTTTGCTGTCTCCAGTCTTTTGTTAAACCTATATAGTGAATTTTTAAAATTTTATTTATTGTGTACTTTGTAGTATAATTATTTTTTCTGTAGTACAATTCTTATTTAGTCTTTTTATGTAGTATTTATTTGCTAAAGTTTTCTATATATTCTCTCATTAAGCGGCTACATTATATTTTATTCTTTTAGCATATTTTGTCTTATTTCATTGAACAAAGTTATAATTCCTTCTTTAAAGTCTCTTTCTGCTAAGTCCAAAGTCTAAGTTTCTTGGGTTTGGTTTTTATGCACTGATGTTGAATTGTTTATAGCTGTGACTCACATTTTTCAATTTCCTTTTAGATCTACTGACTTTCAGTGAATAACAGGCATTGGGGATATTACATTATAGAGAGTCTAGAGCTGTAATCTTTCCCAGGAAGTTGTTGGCTTTTGTTTCAGCAGACTGTTCAATTAACTGATCATGCTGAAATTGTATAGGCTTGATTTTACACTATTAATGCAGATCTATAAAAAGCCCAAATTGTTGCCCTAAATTCTTTAACTCTGTGGGAATCAACCTCAACCTCCAAATCTGTCTTACCTATGGATCTTACGGGGGCTTGCATTTAGGCTTTTTAAAGAACGGTCTAAAGATGACGTTTCTCCAGGGATCCTAACTCCTAAGGGAAAACCCCTCTGTTGTGTGTGTGTGTGTATATGTGTGTGTGTGTACGTGTGTGTGTGTGTGTGTGTGTGTGTGTGTGTGTGTGTGTGTGTGTGTGTGTTGCCAGGGGCTTTTATGAGATCTCTTCACTCTAACATGGCTGAAACTTCAACATTCTTTACTGTTCTTTTTCTAAGACTCCTTTACCTCCCATCTCCATTGTGTTGTTAATCCCATAACAGTTTGGTAGTAAATCTTAGGTTCTTCAAGTCTAGTACATGTACAGCTTATCCGTCAGCAATGACTCGGAGGGGAACCATAGAAACTGCTGGATTCAGCCCTGCATATCTTTATTCTTTTTCTTATGCTGACCCACAAATTAGAATTACGACTTCACCTGTACAGCACTCTAATCCCGTTCCCTGCCTGTCTCAGTGAGACCTTCATATTCTGCTTGAATTTTAGGGATCTGTGTCAAGGTCAGAAATGGTCCTCAGACAGAGAACTGAAACATCATGGAGATCACCTCATTCATTTCTTTTGTCTCATGCATTTCAGTCTTGTCCTGCCTTTTGTCAACTTTCGAAAAATATTTAGTTATCTAATATATTTTGCCCATTTTTATGGTTGTTTAAGGCAACAGGACTTATCTGGTACCAATTCTTACTCTGTGGTTTTAAGACTTTCTTAGTTTGATAAATGTTACAGATAAATTATTAGCAATTGCTAATGCATGTACTTAGCAATGTATATATATATAAATATATATATATAAAACCTTTCATATGTTATAGTATATATATATTTGTATAAATATTGTATGTGATTACTGAAGAGCAGAAAAGACAATATAAAAATATCACCATTAAGTTGAATCCCTCAGAGATAGCCTTAATATTTTGGTGTATGTTATATTATATAAAATAGGTTACTTCAAATTTTTAGAGCAATTTTATTCTTTACACAAAGATCACATATATTCATATTATATATAAGTGCATGAACATGAGTGTTCACTTTTTTATTTTTTTGAGTTGGAGTCTCACTCGGTCGCCCAGACTGGAGTGCAGTGGCCGCTCCCGGCCACCGCAGCCTCGACCTGCTGGGCTCCGGCAATCCTTCCACCTCAACCTTCCGAGTAGCCGGAATTACAGGCATGCGCTACCACGCCCGGCTGATTTTTTGATTTATTGTAGAGATAAGGTCTCACTGCCCAGACGGGTCTCGAACCCACGGGCTCAGGCAATCCACTCACCTCAGCCTCCCAAAGGTGCGGGATTACAGGCTGAGCCACCGAGCCCAGCTAAGTGTCCACTTTTTAAGCAAAATAAAACTGCATTCTTCATATCACAGCTGGATGACTTGGACTTAGTTTCTAATCTCTCTTTGCTTCAAATTCCTCATTAGGTAAATGATGAAACTAGCATAATCTTTTTGTGAGAATTAAAATTAAATATGTAAATCATATATCTCAGACAAAATCAGTCCTGTATTTATTATTATCCATAAAGATATTCAAATGGTATTTTTTCTATTTCTCTAATACTGTTATATATTATATTAATGCATTCCATAATATTGAAATAAAATTATATTATAGAAATAAACTTTATTTGGTAATAGACTTACTAACATTTTATGATAGGGTTGATTCAATTTGCTAGTAT